AATTTCATGACATTGGATTTTGTTTATTTGTTGTTTAACGCCGCATTCATCAATATTCCAGCTATATGACGGCGGTCTGTAAATAATTCAGTTGGGATACGATGACAAGCATCAACCAAGTCAGCGAGCCTGACCATCCGATCCCGTTAGTCGCGCAATAACATTAGAAATGCTTTCTGGTTTTTCATTCAGATAGCTGGCGGAAAGGTACTTCAATCAGATATTGAAGACATATAGTATAAAAATATGAAGTAGATACAAGTATATTTGCATCCCAAGACAACTGATCGTGCATTTGAATCAGCATCGTCTTCCTATGTGTGTGTTTCACCTACATGGTAAACGTCAGCGTGTTGCTTCGTGGTGGAGCTGAAAGAGGGTTTTTACAAAATGTAAAGCAGCTTTAGACTTATTCTTACATTCACTTGTGCAGGCTGAAGCAACCACATCACAATTTGGTAAACCTTTCGTTTAGTATTGGACTACTGTTAACTAAGATAATGCTCATTAACATTCATGTATTAGTGATAACAGATGTAAATCACACCGTTGATCCATTTAAGTCCAACATTAAATGTTATTATTTTGGACAATGTTCCAAAACTGCATGTTTATAAATATAAATAGATCTATATTTATTTCGTGTTAGTCAAAGTCAAAGTCAAAATTAGTTTATTTGTGTGTAGGCCTTTGGCCCATATACAAGAAAATGCAGTGCCAATAATACAATGTGAAGCACATTACATAGATTTTACAACTTCACGTCTTTGTTTATACGCATAATATACATAACATTGCAGACGTTTTAATAACTCATCCTGAGTTGTACACAATACTTTTTTTATTTTATATATAGTTGGAATACAATTCTGGCAAATAAACTTTACGCAGCTCAGTATAATGTTTACAGATCAGTACGAAATGACATTCATCTTCAACAGACATATTGCAAACAGCACACATACGTAAACATGATTCAATAGATTGCCATCTACCCTCGTTCTGTCGTAAAGGTAAAACGTTGCATCTGAATTTATTAAAAACACTGCCTACATGTTTGCCATTGTACATGCTCAAATATCTTTCAGATTCAAACAGATTTTTATATTCTTTGTACATCATATATCGGGTACTACTGTTGATTGTTGACATCCAATTTTGACGAAATTCATCCACAAGACACGTTTTAAGCACCCCAGTGAAAGCTATATTGTCCCAAACAGACTGGTTTAACCATACAAATCCCATACCATGCGAAAATAAAATGTTACGAACAGCTGCTACCCAAGTAATACGACTAATGTTGTCGAAATACATCAACATTTTTTATACTTTTCTTGGGATGGATACGCTCTTCGTACATTCGGGTTAATTTTAACCAATACTTTATAATGCAAACCTGCGCATTGACATAAAGCAGGTAGCGACAACATTCACCATAGACAATGTCATTTGGCGTTTGTGTTCCCACCTTTAAAAAACTTTTACATGCCAAAAGATGGATTCGTTCTAATTGATCATAACGCTGGTAACCCCATACGTCTGACCCATATAAAAGTATTGGTAATACCTGTGTATGAAATATCTTAAAATATACTTTTGGATCAATCATTCCTATTTTATTCAAATTTATCTTTATTTCCATCAAAGCCCGTTTTGCACGATTTGCTAGATCAGCAATACACTTTGTCATCTTGAAAGTTGAAGAAAATATTACACCTAAGTACCTATAACTGTTAACTATGGGCAGGGAGATGTCTTTGTATGTCCATTTCTCCTTGGCAGATAAGGTGCCTCCCCTTCTGAAAACAACTACGTTTGATTTTTGTATGTTAACAGTATCCCATGTATCTGTAAACCCCCCAAGGATGTTAAGCTGTTAGTTAATGTGTGATTACGCAGTTACAATAAATAGCATGCTCCCTTTTTATTTGTTTTATGATGATAGTCAGTAAAACAGGTGAATTCGGGCTCACCACTGATAAAGAAGTAACCACGGATTAGTCATTTGTAAGAAGAACTTGTGAATGGTTTTATAAACGGTTGAAGTATGTTTATTGAGTCATTTCTACAACAAAAAGGAAGAAAACAACGAAACATTCACAAAGAGAATTTGCAATGTTTGTTTGTCGTTAAAATACATTTCTGGTCCCTTGTGGTATGATTGCCGCTACAGAATCAATGGCGTTGCATTGAAACGTATTTGTATACTTGGCTCACAACCTTCAACTTTCCATATGTCCACTGTCATTGAAATTGTATTGGTCAGCGACATTTAAACTTCGACAAGAAGAGTGTTCTTTTTTCTGTTCAGGTGTGTTCCATCTCCTTCATTTTGCCTTCACAAAATGCAATTTGAATTTTCTGATGTTTAAGGGGAAAAAATTACAACAACTAAATGTACCCCTTTCACTAATCAAGCAAGTTCAAAACAATGCTATAGTTGACCTCACAGAACTTATCTTCACATTCTTCATTCCTTGTCATCATGTGATCAAACTGTAAATCCTTATCGTACACATGCGTAAATCTGCAAAAAAGGTTTATAGAATAACCGAGTTACCAGGAATAAAGGTTATCTGTACCGAGTGAATGAATGGTGATAACTATATATGATATTCAGGGGGCACAGGTGGCCTAGTCGTGTAGCGATTCCGTGTGCAGAGTTGCGTCCCTTGGGGACGCCAGAAACCTATGATTGTCGTTTCCGATCCCAGTTTGCCCGACCTACGCAATGACATTTGGGATACGATGACATGCATGAACAAAGTCAGCGAGCCTGACCACCTGATACCGTTACTCACTGCTTACGAGACTCAGAGTCGCTGTTTTTTCGGCCAACGTGGGTTGTTGAAGAACTATTGTATCCCGGATATTCACGGGTCAAAAGAGTAGTAGTTGTCAACCCTACAGATCACGTTCAAATCACGTAATGTAAACAAACTGTGAAGTTGTGAACAACCGATGACGTCATATCGTATTTTTGCTAACGAATTTAGCACTGTGCCATGTGACAATTCAGAATTTTGAGAGTCGCCAAATTCACATGTGCAAATATCGGAAAGTTATTACTCACATACATACTGGAAAACATGTCAATATCTCTTTCACAAGCAAACGGGATGAAAAGCATCAGTGACCGACTATGATAAGTTGCTACAAAACTTACCCATTTGCATTTGCGATTATTACTTGATCCCCAACATCCACTACGTTGCATATAGACATTTGTTTTATTTCTGGAACCTTTTTGACGTTCAGTGCCTGTTCCTTTCTTGTTTCAATATCAATTACGTGAACATCCGAATAATCCATTCCTATTCTGAATATACGTTTGCCTGCAATATAACATCAAATAATAACAACATAAGCGATATATAAGGATAAACTGGCACATTTTCCATCCACATAATACCACTTAGATAAAAAGTGTCTCAATGGGGTATAAATGTTAAACTGTAGCATAGTACATCAGCCTGAGAAGATTACAGGCAAATATGTACATAAATTTATTTGTTTGTTGTTTACGCCGCACTCAGCAATATTCCAGCTATATGACGGCGATGTATAATTTAAAAGCAATATTTAGCATAAGGAACATAATATATCGTGTTTAGTCCAACTTATACCTAAAAGACCATGGCAGGCATATTTTTAAATCAGATTCGGAATTCAACAAATTCTGGAGTCAATATTGGAGGTTGGTTGGTTGGTTAGTTGTTTAACGCCGCACTCAGCAATATTCCAGCTATATGACGGCGGTCTGTAAATAATCGAGTCTGGACTAGACAAGCCAGTGATTAATATCATGAGCATCGATCCACGCAATTGGGATCGATGACATGCATCAACCAAGTCAGCGAGCCTGACCAACCGATCCCGTTAGTCGCCTTTTACGGCAAGCATGGGTTGCTGAAGACCTATTCTACCCCGGAATCTTCACGGGTCCAATAATGGAGGGAACAGGCATGTGATGTGTCAGCTTGTCCCCTCCAATTCTGACGTCATGATTTGTTGAAGAATTTCGATTCGTTTTAACCACTAAAGCTGACACATCCGATGCCTGTTCCCTCCAATATTGGCATGTGATGTGTCAGCTGTAGTAGTTAAATCGATTCGAAATTCTTCAACAAATCACGAAGTCAGTATTGGAGGGCACAAGCATGTGATGTGTCACCTGTAGTGGTAAAGATGTATTTTGAGACACTTCATGATCAAGAACTCATGCTAAAATATTGCAAATGCGAAATAGTGTTGGTCACAGTACTAACTGCACATGCATTCAAAAATCTAAACGAAATTCTCGGGAAATGGTCATGAGCAGTTTCAGCTTTCAGTGTAGGAAAAGGTCAAATTAAGATCAAACTTTCAAAAATCCCAAATAAAACCCTGAATATATTTATAACACTCCACTACTAACTATACATATACCAAAGTCAAGAACACGTTAAAGGGAAATGGCTGATTAAAGGTCAGAAATTTGTTTTTCAGAATGGCTCATGTGGCGGCCATACTTAAAAATGGAATCGAACCCTTTGAACAACATGTCCTTGGGCTGTCATGACTGGTGGGAATAAACGTGTGAAGTTGCAGCTGCATTGGTGAAAAGATATCTGAGGAGATGCATTTAGTGAGAATTTAGGACTGTCACAGAGCAAAGGTCAAGTAAAGGTCCAAAGGTAAAAGAACGCAACAACTGTGTTAACCCCACTTACTAAAAAAGGACCAAACTTCATTGTGCAATTGGTACAATAACTTATAGAAAGATTCTCCTTCAAATATGGTCGACGTTCAAAGATCACATCATGATCATGTTCAAGACTTTCATATCGTAAAAGCAGCGAAAGATACATGTTGAGCGTCAACGCCAGAAATACAAGTCTCGATTTTAAACATGACTGATGACATGGGTAAGCGTCTCCTGTCTAGCACCCTCAATTCACACAATTTGCATAAAGATAGTTTAGGTAGTGTGTGTTGCCTGACGCCGCACAGCAGTACTACGTTGTGCGACAGCGGCCTGTAAACAAACCAGACATTCAAGTGATGGACTGGAAGGTCGCAGCGACACGACGAGCGTTTTGAAAAATACATTCTTCCTAATTAAGGTCTCTCAGACAACCATAGCCCGGATTTCCTTGTCCATTGTTTAGCACACAGCAACATTCCATCTATATGACGGTTGTCTGGAAATAACCGAGTGTGGACCAGACAATGCAGTGATTGACATCATGAGCATCGATGCGGTCATGGGATACGATGACATGCATTAACCAAGGCAGTCTGACCACCTGACCCGTTAGTGGCCTGTTACGACAAGCATGGGTTGCTGAAGATCAATTCTACCCCGGATCTTCACGGGTACAAACTGTTTGGTATACAGATTACCTTCAAAGTCAAGCGATATCCACTCACTGACCGCAGACTTGAATACTTTTTTCCCTTTCCCTCTGTAGTTACAGCGAAATATGCCCTTTATTGCTCGACTATGGAAGTAAATGAACCTGGAATGAAAATTTTCTCATTTCATTGTGATCGGCTCAAGACCGCATTGTGATCATTTAGATTTACAGGAAATATGTCCATACAAAATCAAGAATCTTCACAAAGGTTTCTGCAAAACGAAATGTACAACCCTACCGGTAGTCTCCGTTGTTGGTTGGTTTGTTTGTTATTTAACGCCGCACTCAGCAATAGTCCAGCTATATGACGGCGGTCTGTAAATAATCGATTCTGGACCAGACAATCCAGTGATTGATGTCATGAGCATCGATCCACGCAATTGCATTAACCAAGTCAGCTAGCCTGACCACCCGATCCCGTTAGTCGCCTCTTACGACAAGCATAGTGCCCTTTTGCGGCAAGCATGGGTTGCTGAAGACCTATTCTATCCCGGATCTTCACGGGGCCCAGACATCAGTATCAGGCTTTCGAAGTGCGAAGCATGAAACTTGGACCATTTGGTATTGTAAAGATTTGAATATCTTTATTGTCTCTTTGACCGCGGTGTTTCTATAGCGCCTGCAGGAGTATAACATGTTATTGTATTTAGAAAATAGTGGGCGCCATATATGAGTTTCTAATTAATATTCGTTCACGATTCTGGTCTAATGGTTTTGGTTATATTTGGATTGTCTCAAACGGGTGGCAATCAGCTCTTCCTCTTTGACGTTTTTTCAAGGAGACGGGTTAATATAAATTCTACCCCGGATCTTCACGGGTCAATGTGTACACTCACTGTTTCTTGGTATCCACCGCTATCTTGCACAACGAATCATGACTCTGTAAAACTCCATTCCACAACATGTCATAATTATCTTCATCTTCATCAGGCTTCATAGTTGCTACGCCGCGTCCAATCATAAGAAAAAGGCGTTTTTGATTCTTGTCATAGCCTATCCCGGATACTGCAAAAAATATATATAACAACGATGAGAGATTGGTGATAGCAGTCAGATACAAAAAGAATTATCTGTTGACGAAATTAGAATTTGGAAGAAATCTCAGATGCAGGCTATTTTTTTATGACGAAAATGTAGACTATATTTTCACACTGAAATCTTGGAAATATTTCACTGAACACTGAAGGAATACGATCACACACACATACACGCACACACACACACACACACACACACACACACACACACACACACACATACACGCACACGCACACATTATATATACTTCTAGTGATATTTAATAACATATTGACAAAATGCATCCAAGTATATCAAAACAATATTATCAAGTAAACTATATCCTTATACATTGAAAATATGGCATAATGTTATTGTCCAACAAACTGTTCAATGGCTGTTTATTTGTTCTTTAACGCCACGCTCAGCAATATTTCTGCTACGTGTCGGCGGTCTGTAAATAATCGAGTCTGGACCAGACAATCAAAGATATGAGAACATCAGATTACATGTCCCGTAATGTGATTACTCAAATCTTTGTGTAGCGGTAGCAAGGACTTACGATCTGAATTTTATGAGGCTTGTGTCGTCTGCACACAAGGTTAATGGATTGATGTCTTCCGCCACAGGGGCATGAGGAAAATTTTATGAAATTAACAACTAATGTTTGCTTACATCGTCAATAGTTTAACCGTTTATGAACGATATAACATGTGTTTCACAAAGGACGTTGTTTGTTCGATTAGGTATTATATGTACATCGTAGAGTGTATGTGTGTTTTGGACGAAAGACGCGAACAGACAGAAATTACTCTCGTGTTGATCAGGGCTGTTTGGTCATAATATACTGAACCGCAAAAGAACCGTCACCATGGATAGATATATGATAAACCTTGTTTGTCCAAAAACTGTAAACATACTTTGAGACATTAAAGAGATGAAACTTGCTAAAACTGATCATCAAGGTTGAAATTAATTGTCAAATGTTCTTAAAGTGAAACACAACACTAGTCTCTGAGAAAATGGCATCACAAGTCAGTATCTCGTGTGTCCGCCATGTGCATTGATGACTGCCGTGCAACGTCGATACATGGAATGAATGAGGCGGTTGATGAAGGCTATAGGCACTTGAGCCCACACTCTGAGGAACGCCTGACGCAGTGAGGCTGCAGTTGTCGGCCTTGGTCGGACGTCATTCAGCCGTCTTTGAATCTCGTCCCACAAGTACTCAATGGGATTTAAATCGGGACTGTCGGCAGGCCAATGCATGGTTCTGATGCCATTCTGCTGGAGGAGTCTTGTGTTGCTCTCACAGTGTGAGCACGGGCGTTATCATGCTGAAACTCGTGGTTGCGGCGAAAGAGGTATGGCGTGTGGTCTCAAGACTTGATCAATGTACCGAGCTGCTGTGACACCATTGCCTCTCCCTGGACCGATGTTCTAGGAAGACCACAGGACCGACCGACACCATGATGCTCGGACTACCCCACGTGTCTCTCTCAACAACACAAGCATCCGAATAACGATCCCCAGACTCTCTCTCTCTCTCTCTCTCTCTCTCTCTGCTGGTGCTGTGTTGCCCACTGGAGACGGTCCCGCGCGATGACATGGTGTCAGAATGGGTCCTCGGTGTGGCCTGTGGCAGTGGAAGTGTCTGCTCGTCAATCGTCGACGCACGATGTCCGCACTGATGTGTCGCTGGTGTGTCCTCGTGGTCTGTCGAGCAGTTTCCACAAGCAGTAACAAAGCGATCTTAAAGATGCTGTCGCACAATCTTACGATCCTGACGTCGGGTGGTGACCCTTGGTCTTCCACTACGTGTTCGGTCATCTGTAGTGTTGGTGGTCTGGTACCGTTGCTGGAGCCTGTATATGGTCCTCACGTGGACTTGAAATGCATTGGCTACCTGCCGGGCGGTTTGTCGAGCTTGCAATCGTCCAAGGGCTTGGTGTCGCTGATTTTTGTCAATCTTGGCATGTGGTAGCAATTCAATAACGAATGAATGTTTTCCGATCTGGGTGTATTTTTATAGGTCAAGAAATTAAATGAGGGAACGTATGTGCATTTCAATTTGCACGGAACTCACTTGCATCGGGTTACCATGGCCGTTGCCGTGATACGTTTGGGCGATCGGTTTTATTGTCATCTGCTTTGTTTTTTTATCATCAAATTTCATTTTTCCGGACAAGGTAATGTTAAATTTTAGAAACTTTGACAACTGTTCATGCTATGTTAGTTGGGGTGACGTTTGGGTTCTTTAGCGGTCCAGTATAGTACATCAAAATGTGCAAAGAATATTGGATGATTCCTTGGTCGTACGTGAATTGTATATTTCTCCTTGAAATTACATTCCAAAACCCGAAAACGCACAGGGAAAGTGGTTCTCGTGCATCAAGCAGATGTGACTCACACAGAATTTAACACTTAATCATTGCGCTCTTGAATACCTTTCAAAATTATGTTCCTTAAACATCATAGGTGTAAGCGTCCTTTGAATGTTGGCAATGGTGTAAGTAGGTTGGAACACTTCAACGATTAGACACCAGGTCATCGTGTTCTAACCAATACATAATTATTGTTACATTTAACTTCTGGCAAATAACCGTTATGGGACGATGGAGATCAGTCACATCGAGACACATTATGGATGACCTGTTTGACGTGCCTCCGATGATTTCGATTGTAACAATGAAAGAATAATATGGTCACGTGGACTGAATAGTTTGATAACAATTGCAACAGATGCATATGTTTGTCTTACGCGAAAAGCAATTTCTGCTCCTTTTTACCTGGAACTCCTTGCAAATATTCTTTCCCTTTGGCATCTTTTATGTCTTTCACACTTCGGATTTTGAAGGACATCAGTTTTTGCTCTGGAACAACATACATTATTCCTGTTTCATCATCATAAGCTGCTTGATTAACCTGAGTGTTCAAAAAATGAGTTCTTGGTAGCTCCACTGATCCCCATTCTTCTGTATCAAGGTTAACCCAGTATGGAGACACGTTGCTATGAATCATAAACACCAACATATATGGCGTCTTATTATTGAGGATATCTGAAACAAATGAGTAATATATAGAGACAAATCTGTATTATGAAAGTCGGTAAAGCAATCAGTAATATCTTTGATATTTTACTACAAAAAGAAAGTGTCAATTCAGAAATGACACCAAACTTTTTCCTTTTTATATGATTTTGGAAAGTGACCATGCCTCAAGCTACCGTAGTGAGACAGTAAAAATATGTTCTACCAAGAATGGCACTCCACTTTAGAGGATAGTTCACGTTATGAATATTACAAAACATTCAAGACTTTACTTCAACCAGAAATATATTTATCAGTACTCACTACAGAAAACTTAAGAAAACAGTTAATTAAATATCGACTTGGTTTGCTGGACCTATTTGTAAATGAAGGAAGAAAACTGTCCATTGAAAAACTGAAAAGAATTTGTCCATTGTGTAATCTAGAGATAGAAAATGAAATTCATTTTATGTTTATCTGTCCATTTTACAATGATCTCCGAAAGAAATATATAAAAGATTATTTAATAGCAATGTCACCGATAAACGCCTTTGTAGTTATGCTGACGACAAAGAACGAATCGAATATATTAAATCTTTCTCTTTGTATTAAGCATGCATTAGCCAAAAGAAATGAATTAATCAAACAACGTGTATATCCCAATGTGTAACATTTATGATTGTATCATTCTACATGCGTAACTCTTTCGTGTGTATGGGCCGGTGGCCTTTTGTACAATAAACTTCTTTTGACTTTGACTTTGACAGTAAAAAGCAGATTTGACCATATGGCATTGACGTTCAATCTCTGCCATAAGCTGAAGGAGCATTCCATGATTACATTCATTGTTAGTGTTAGAAGTATGATGCCTTGATAGTAAACTGGAAAAGAGCATGAATCATATTGTTAACTTTATCATTGTGTGAATAGCCTTAACATTTTGGAAGACAAGTTAAGAAAGTGTTCATTATGAATGACCAATCATTGAAATGTTTGGTTGTCTCATGAATTAAACCAAATTTTCATCATATTTGCAAAATGCTTTACAATGGATATCTGGAGGTTTTCACATCCTTGTGATCGTCTGAGTCCGATTTTGTTTAAATTTCTGTTTAAATACATTCTCAGGATTTGGATGAAGATGTGCTCTTTACCTTCATTTTTTATAATTGTCATCTCAGAAAAGTTCCAGTTACAAACGGGTGTTGTATGAATGATATTAACTATCAATAGTGTCCTGCCAGTACTTTCCAAATAGTATCCCGTTGGGACCCAGATAGGTCGTAAAAGGTAACCGGTTGGTCAACCTATTTGCCATGGGTTGCGACCTTGTGTCGGTGGAGGAAGAAAGTCTTTAGATAAGAGCACTGGTTCAAGGAACTGTGTTTCTTTGCCCAACACACTACTTTGCCCCTGACTTCACCAACATGTAGGAGGGGGTAGAATTGGCCCTGGTCCATCAATCGGCTGATCATGCCAAGCCCTGTGCACAAATTGTGTATGCACATACATGATTATATAAATGTTTTCTTTGGTCTTGGCAATCTATAACATGTTTTAATTCTTCAATTATTTATGTAACAAATTGCCTGGAGTCTTATGACGGACGGCGGTGCCTCATGGGCCAATCTGGTGATGTTGACCTCTAAATCAATTCAATATGTATCAAATTTCTTGTCATGGGCTGAGCCAGTGGGACATTTTATTCTGTATACAAATATTGCATTTGTGTTATATTAGATGGAAAATTACACCCCCATATCCCTGGTGTTTGCATCTTGGATATCCAGTGCACCAAAACACTTTGTGGCACACTATTGTTGGTGGTGAGCTGGGGTGCTGAATCACCTTTTTCACCATGTCCCAACAATACTCTGGTTCAAACCGTCTAAAACCTAGAAATGTTAGCCTTGATCAAACTGGACAAATATCTCGTGGATTGGATTCCTGGGCCAAATTTGTTGTGATCGAGGCAGCTGACAAACAACCTACTAAGCTTAATCCATTCGAAATGTCCAAAGCTGTTTCTGGAACTTGTGGAGAAGAGACAAATGTGACATCGATCCACGCAATTGGGATCGATGACATGCATCAACGAAGTCAGCGAGCCTGACCACACAATCACGTTAGTCGCCTCTTACGACAAGCATATATAGTCGCCTTTTACGGCAAGCCTTGGGGAGTATTGATTATATTGCTAAGTGCGCGGTCCTTATTACTAACAACTATTTATTGTATATTTAATGAAGTCTAAAACACGTATTTGCATCATGCAACGGGAACTTATTCACTATTTGATCTGTCACTTACAGATGGTGATATACTAAACGAAGTTTACCAAGTCAGTTCAAGATGACCTATGAGGAAGTGACCATTTACCCAAAGTACTTAAAGCTATTCTCCTGATGAGCCACCTTCAACAAGGGGGAATTTTGATAGAGCAAACTGGCCATTATGTCAAACCCGTTGTTTTGAAACACTGAAACATGATACTTTAAGAAATTTTCCAGACCCTTTTCAGGTGTTCTCAGACCAACTGAAAAACAAAGCTGATGAAACCATTCCTACGTCCTCTGTGAACACGCACATTCGTAAACCATGGTTTAGGAATGATTGCAAAGAGGCTAGAAAGCGTAGGATAAGCCAGAAAATATAAGGCAAGACGAACTTTAAGCAAACCAAAATAAACGTCTTGGAGAAATGATGTATTCAAGATCAATTCACGTACACCTATGTCAAAGATGTGAAATATGATTCAAAGAATTAAAGGCAGAGGTTCTAAATCCAGCATTCACATCTGGAAGAGGGTCATGATATATTGACAGATAAAGCTGACATCGCACATAAATTATGTGAAATGTTTGCTGAGCGTTCTTCATAATCCAACTATGATCCTAAATTTCAGAAATTTCAGCAAAAGCAGGAACAGAAAAAAGTTAATTTAAATTCTATTAATGGTGAAGATTACAATGAGGTATTTTTACAACACCGCACTTGGGCAAGTTCTTGATATTTATTATCAGCTATTAAAACACTTGCCTGAATCATGTCTCCAGACACTTTCAAAGTATCGTAAAAGTATTGGCCTCCTGCCAGTGGCACGTAAATCCATTATCAAAGTATATAATAATGACTTGTGTTTTAGAACTTAATATTTATTTTGTGTCTTTTTAATATTGGCTATCATAACGTACATCCAATTGTGACCAAAGTGATGATGTAAATCCTGCTGGTGAATCATGCAGGAAGCAGAGGTACTGCAAGGCTCCATGATCCCCAGTAAGGTGGTCTAACTTTGTTTGCTGGTGGGTTATAGCCTATTTGTAATTGGTACGACCAAATATATAGATTAATGATGTTTTTAAATTAGATCTGGTTTGTATTATGTCTTTAACTGTGATATTTACCTACCGTTTTACAGTCCTTTTTTTGACAGGAATTAAGAAAATACTGCCTTGTTCCATTGCGATATTGCTGCAATATTGCCGATGTTATGTAACTTTTTAACTCACATCTAAATAGAAATGTTTGTGGTCCGGTGTTCGGTGTACAGATAACAGCAAATTAGTTAAAAACAATGCAGGCGACATAGAGTAGTTACATGAGCATGCAGTTCTCAAGCTTGATCAGCCCTATCCCACTAAACCATGATGTCCCCTCAATACTGTGAATTTGTTCGAATTTGGCATCTGTTCACCCAGGAAAGTTGTATTAGTGCAGGGCCTTCTGGACCTAACAAGCCGCTTGTGTTGTATATTCCTCAAGAATATGAGAATGTATCCTGTCAGTGTTTACAAAAATGTAATGAAATTACCTGCATCTATATAATTACGTCACGATTTAGCTAAAATTTCATTGAAGAAACATATATAGAAGTAGCAATGTAGTAGTATATTTGAACCATGATCTAACAGCGACCGAAATATTGAAATTGCGAAACATTCGAGTTAGTTTAGCATTTGGGTTCGTCACTGTGACATTAAGTTCCTCCAGGCGCTGCAATTCACGACAGAAGTGATTACCGTATGCATGCCAAGATTCTTGCCATGCCATTTATTGTGATCACCACATTCATGCTTATGTTTGTCACTGAAGTGGTTATCGTAAAAACAATTTTATCCTACTTGCCCACATAAATATATTGATAATTAAACTCATGTAATTGATATTCCATTAATCATCAAGTTATTATACAACAAAGCAACTCTTTTGTGAAATCATTTGTGAGGAACTAGAACATAAAACACGTACCTGTGTAAGGATTCTGACGTCGCCAGAATCTCCATTCTCCTCTGTCCTCTGGTTTAAGTGAATCAATTAGGTTCTTGTGTAGAACACATTGACGTGATGCTTTGTTGTAAAATAGTGCGTTGCATTGTGGAAGCGTAACACACACTTTGGCACAAGCCAACAAATCTCGGACTTGTCTTTTTTCGAGGATGTTTTCTAAATCCACCTTAACAGACTGTTTCCCTTGGTTGGTAAAATGTCCCTCCAAACGAGAGTGGCAATGACAGATGGGTAGATATGTTGTGATGTAAGACACCAGGTAAACTAGCCTGAGCAGCCAGCTCATGTTGTTCTGCATATGCCCGATGTTCAGTTTCTATGCAAAGAGATCAATGCCCCTTCAGCCACAGAAACATTCAGTCACAGTGAAGCAATAATTTATTCATAGAAAGAACGTCAAAGGCCATTGGCCTGACACACTGAACCATGGTGCACTGTTTCCATAATAACTAGTTGATATTATAAGTTTATTGTTCAGCAACTAGTAAGATGAAGACAGTAATTGGTTTATTTTTTCAAAAAGAGACAAAATAATGCTTCTTAAAATGGTAAACATCTCTTCCTCTGAAGCTGCATGACTTATTCATTAATTAAACTGAAATTAGGCTTTTAAGCAGTGTTTCGTCAATTTGCAACCTAACTAGTAATTGAAATTTACGAAACCCAAAAATAATAGTTCACTTATTTCACTCCTCAAAGGAGTGAGTGAATGAGTCAGTTGACATTAACGCCGCTGAACAGTATCCCAGTGAAACAACGGCGTTTCAGCATAATGTGGGAGGAAAGCCTGACCCGATGCAGGTCTTAGACGTTTACTACTTTGATGACGGCTATGGTGCTGACAAACCTAGAAACATAATCAGAGCGAAACAGGAATTGAACCCGCGATCATACGTTTCTGGCGTGGCCAAGCGACGCAATTACGGCGCCTAGACGACAGGGCCAACTTGCCCCCTCCCCGAAGGAAGGACAAGAGAATCGAACTGTGAGTTGTATGTATTATTTCATTAGGGATAACATTTTAGTAAGCCTTCCTTACGCCAGGATCAGTTTGTGAGCGTTTAATGATGTATGTTTCTAAGGTGATAGATTTTATTCACATCATGTTATTTACGAGAGAGAAAACTTCGCGAAATAACCTCGAAAGGATTTAAATGCCAAAGTCAAAGTCTGAAATCCCTCGCTTAGTCATCGGCTTCCACAACAAACATATTTGAGGATCTGGCCTGATGGTACCGGCGGAGCCCTGCACCGTTGCCTGATAAGTGATGCTTTGCAGCTATATGAAATCTTTTATCAAGATGTAAATAATCAACATGACTATCATTTTAATACCAACATCCTGTTTGGGTGCATACTTGGACCTGTCAAGATCCGCGGTAGAATAGGTCTTTAGCAACCCATGCTTGCTGTAAAAACTATGCTTGTCGTAGGAGGCGACTAACGGGATCGGGTGGTCAGGCTCGCTGACTTAGTTGAGCCATGGTTGTCAATAACTGGATTGTCTGGTCCAGATTTTATTATTTACAGACCGCCGTCATATAGCAGGACTATTGCTGAGTGCGGCGTTAAACAACAAACAAAACAAACAAAACTTGTTCCAAGGGATAACCCCCATTCTGTTTGTTTAAGCTATAGGGGAGGGGGGATGTCATATTAAACACTGTAGTCGAAAGGCGCATGCTTGTAACACATAGATGCACAATATAGAAACATTTTTCCTTCACATCTCAAAGTTACATGCTTCAGTCCAAATAAAAGTGAAACATTTTTGTCTTCCCAATGACCACGCACAGATAAATTTAATTTGTGCATAAAGCATGAGGTTCTGGACAAATAAAGCATCTGCTCACATGCCAGTTTTTTACCTCTCTTTTACGCTTTTTATCCACCGCCGGGCCAGAATGGCCGAAGGGGGATTATGTCGTGGCGCAGTCCGTCCGTCCGTCTGTCTGTCCGCCTGTCCGTCCCACAGAGGGTACTAAGCTTGTGAAATTAACTCCTACAGTTTCCAGAGAATATCCCTGAAACTCTACACACAAGCTGTCGACATGTTGATGATACGCATATGGCAGTCCCGTTTCATTTCGACTAATTTTGACAGAGTTACTGCCCCTGTTCTACGGAGCTTCAGTTGCCTAATTGTGAGAGAGGTACTAAGCTTGTGACCCTGTTTCATGAAATCTACTCCTCCTCAAGTTTCCAGTGAATATCACAATATCTAACTACAACTATAACTATAGTTAGTTTCCTTGTATAAGGCTTTTGTGGGTGAGCTACATCCCTATTGCATAAGCATTCAGACTGAATTACTCCCAACAAAATGTTCTGCACAATTTGTTTCAAATGCAGTGCCATCTACTGTTGTCATTTCATAAAATACCAAAAAAATATAAACTCGTTAAAAACATTCTTGCGGGGGGTGTTGTGCTCTCAGAGCACTCTTTTTTCCTTCGTCAAATTTGATTACGGTCAAACATTTGTGATTACGTATTCCTTAAAGTATTACAATCTGCAAAGGTGCTATGTTGAGTTTACTTGCCCTTTCAACAGCGCACACCCTGCAATTATCACTTACCTATATTTCTATGTGTGTCAGATTTGTATTCTGTGTTTCCTTAACATCCTGCAATGTCTAAAATGGGAACATATATGTAACTCAATACATACCATTGAAATGTGTATATGGTTGACGTAGACCACGAAGCGTAATGTATATCATGTCCGGCCTTGCATGTGATGGGGTTTGTCATGACAGCGGAGGTAGTCGTCGTCTTCTTCTTTGGTTCAGATGGATGTATCCAAGACATTGAAATAATAGCCACTCAATCACTATCAATAATATGGAATACAATATATAATGTCAGAATATGTCTAGTTCAGGTGTTCCATCCTATTTCGCATTGTTATCAATTATTTATCAAACTAAAAATTAACGGTTTTCAACGAAATTGAAATCTTAGGACAACTACCAAACGAAAAAGCCGAAAAACACGAAATATAATTTGTCATGATCAAAATGCAATACACAACGACACACATGTTCCCAAAACAATATCGTTAAAGGTTCAAATAGCAACCTCAATACCGTCATGATGGAAAGAAAGTGACGTTACTATAACATGAAATAGCTTGTGGAGGTATCCTGTCGTCTCGGCAAAATGCCGAGTAAATGAAAAGAAAGATGCAGGTGGACATTTATTAATCTAAGTCTGAGTGTGTGAGTTGGGTTTAACGCCGCTTTTAACATTATTCCAGTTATATCACGGCGTGTCAGCTTAATGTGGGAGGAAAGCCCGAAGTGCTGCAGATTTCAGACGTTTACCACTTCGGTGAAACCACGAGCACGGGTGCTGACAAACCTAGAAACATAATCGGGGCGAACCGGGATTCGAACCCACAATCATAGGTTTCTGACGTGCCCAGGGGACGCAGCTTTTGCACAGGGAATCGCGGCGCCTTAGATGACTGGGCCACCCGTGTACATGTCCCCCACATGTTATTAAATAAGCCGTTTCGTGAAAACAGGCTGCTTATCTTCTCCGACTGCCGCTTCTGTTTTAGCAACAGCTTCTTTCTTCATGTAAAGCATCCTGCCATTAACACTTTGAATACCATATGTGTAAACCAGGGGACTCGGATCGGCTAGTTTTTGTCATATAAGGGCCCAAGGTCAAAGTCACTAAAAAACTTTCAGTGTGGCATTTAAGGGATCTTTTTGCAACTCTTATATTTAAGTCCTAAATTTAGAAATATGTTGAGTTTATTTATCTCAGAGATAACTATCACTGATATAAAAAGTCGGCCACCATCACCAACATTAAGTTTGCTTTGCGACTGGCCTACGCACAATACATTCAATCCGATATTTCTTTTTAAATTTATTGGATTTTGTTCAAACTTGGCATATGTGGCCTTTCGGTTTAGATCTTGTATTGCGTAGGTTGAGCATTAATTAGGGCAATGCAGGGCATTCATACCTTTTTCACTTAGATGCATCTATTCAACATATTTTATCATTCTGGCAACCCGTGAAGATCCGGGGTGGAATAGGTCTTCAGCAACCCAAGCGTGTCATACAAGGCGACTATATATGCTTGTCGCAAAATGCGACTTACGGGATCGGGTGGTCAGGCGCGCTGACTTGGTTGATGCATGTCATCGTATGCCAATTGCGTGGATTGATGCTCATGATGTCAATCACTGGATTGTCTGGTACAGGCCACCACCATATAGCTGGAATATTGCTGAGTGCGGTAATTTGATATCACGAATATGATTTTTTTAGCTCGATAGTCACATGTTGTCGTTGTACAAAGGCATTGAAAACTGTTCAAGTCACAAAAGGCCACAAAGTTGCGCTGAACTCAGTATCTCGTGTGACCGCCCCGGGCAGCAATCACGGCTCTGCATCTCTCATCTTCCCGAGGCAAGAGAGTTAACTGACAATAAAAGTCTTGTTTCCACCCTTGCCGAAGTAGGCTGGTATATTGGAGTTAGAATGTGTCTGGACTCACGAGTCAATGCACAGTACAATCAAAATCGCGCAATGAAATAGAAATCCGGTTCGTAAACTATTATGCAGATTTCTGACGATTGCAGGATTTGAAAAACATATGCACCGCCAACTCGTTGTCAACAGATATTTTCCAAATCTTCTCATACTGAGAGATGGAATCTGATTGGCCCATATGAGAGGCATAGAAGGGACATAACTCGTAATAACCACCGGTGGCGCTTCGATCGACCCCAGGGATTCTAACCTAGTTCGGCAAGGGTGGAAACTGGACTTTTAAAGTCAGTTAACTCTCTTGCCTCGGGAATTCTCCGCCATTCTGCTTGTAATGCGTGGGCTAGTTGTGGGAGCTTCGTCGGCGTGTTCTGACGTTGACGTAGACGTCGATCGACTCCATCCCAGAGGTGTTCGATTGGGTTGAGATCTGGAGATCTCGAAGTCCAGGGCAAGCGTTGATGTTGGCATTATGAAGGTAGTCTACCGTGACACGAGTTGTGTGCGGTGGAGCGTTGTCCTGTTGAAACAGCTCCGTCTGGCGGTCAATGATTTTAAGAAGGTGAGGTTGAAGAATTTGATTCATGTAGCGAATTGCTGTCAAATTTACCTAAGCCACAACTAATCAGATCTCTTGATGTAAGATCCGTAGCTGTGGCATTGCAATGACGTAGGTGGAACAGTCGAATGTAACGATCCTGTGCAGGGTTGGTAACTCTTGGTCGGTGAGTGTATCGGTCCCAAAGGCGGCAATTTGGTGGACGTTGAAGTGGCGTGCAACAGAAGACTGCGATTTC